CCTGCACTACTTGGGAAATCGCAGCCCACACAGGAACCAAGGTTCTCAGTACGGATGCAATTTCCAGTGCGGGCAGCATGCCATTAGAATTAACGGCACCCACCTGCAGGTCCCTCATTCCTCTGTGTGGGTGGTGCGGTTGCAGGTATTTGTGTGGGTCTCGCAGCAGTACCCCCCCCCGCACAGATGTGAAGCAAGCCTTAGCCATAATAAGCTTTTAACTTTTGCAGTGCAGATGGGCCCCATTGCAAGGACACTTTTTTTAAAAACTCCTGGAGTTGCTTTGGGCTCCTTCCTATGCATTTGTCTGCATGAACACCTCCATCTCCAATTCTAAAACCTGCTAAGAAGACAAATCGCAGTGCCAGCACTCCTACCCTGAGCCTGGTTAATGTTGTACAAAGGATCATGGGAGGATAACAGAGCATGCAAGCAGCATGTACATTTAAACTAGTAGTGCGCTGAAATGAAAATTCTGGTGCTTAAAGCAAAAATTCAGAATGCACGTGGCCAAAAACCGAAATGGGCAATTTTAAAAAATTAAATATACATTTTTGGAAAAAAAAAAAAAAAAAAAAAAAAAAAAACACACTTTAAATGGATTATAATAAAAAAAAAAAAAAAAAAACAAACAACAACCCACAATATATACCCCAATTTTTTTGTAAAATATGAAAGAGGATGTTACGGTGAGTAAATAGATATCCAACATGTCATGCTTTAAAAGTGCGCACCCTCGTGGAATGGCGTCAAACTATGGTACTTAATCTCCATAGGCGACGCTTTGAAATTTTACACTGCTAACCTGTAGAAATTTTAAGAGGAGAATTCTTGCTCTGATGTTCGTGGCAACACCTCACATGTGTGGTTTGAACACAATTTACATATGTGGGCGTGGCCTACATATGTGTTCAGCACCATGTACAAGCACGGGGGGGGGGGGGGGGGGGGGCAGGGGGGCACTTTAAACTTTATTGTTATTTATTTTTCTTTTTTACACTGTGCCTTTACAAAAAAAAAAAAAAAGTATCAATTTTATTCCTATCACAAGGAACGCATGCATCCCTTGTGACAGAAATAAGTATTGATAGGTCCTCTTCATGGAGAGATATGGGGATAATAAGAAACCATATGTCTCCTACAATGTAAAGCATTAGATCAAAAAAAGCATTGATCTAGTGCTTAAAAAAAAAAAAAAAAAAAGGCGAAGGAACGGAAGTGACATCGCTCCGGTCCTCCAAGAGCATAGAGATAAGTGGAGGATATCTTTCCTTCACTAATCTCTATGCCCAGCTCCAGGATCGTTAAGTGGTTTCTCAGGTAAGGCTGAGAACTACTGAGCAGAGGCCAGTGATGGTGGCGGCGAGGGGTGGCAGGGGCAAGGGGGTGGGGTTATTTTCAGCACCTGTATAGGTGCATTTTTTTTTTATATTGGCCAACGGCCAATAGGGGTGTTTTTGACTGAAACGTTTCGGCCACCAAAATTTCAATACACCCCTAATTTAAACCAACTCAGACATTGTTTAAAGCACATACTCATCCACAGCAAATGCAGCATTTTCCCCCTGTGGGAGCCAGACAGTGGGTCCTGCCCTGCCATCTTAAAGCGGAGTTCAACTCACGCTGTCAAAAAATAAAAGTCATCAGCTACAAAAACTGTAACTGCTGCAGGACCAGGTAAATGTCTTTCTGACCTAGGGTGGAATGGGGCAGAGCTAAAAATTAAAAACAGAAAACCCTGCTTGCAGGGTCAAAGTGGAACTGACTTCCTTTTGGGGGTTGAGAATACAGCTGGCATGAATTAGAACACCTGCATCCACACGGCTGTCAAATTATTAACAGTGACTGTGTCTGTGCAGCCGCTGCATCCCAATTGGCAAGTATCGGACTGCCTGCATGGGCATGTGCAGAACACCTGTGCACCCCCATGAAGGCAAACTCAGCCATGGCCCTGGCTTACGCTTAAGTATGCCCATGTGATTGAGACCTTATTGTCATTTGTGACTTCATTAGGGAGAGTTCCCATTGTGCGTTATAAAGGATGAGAGACACAGACAGCAACTCAAGGAGAACTGGGGGCCTCTGTTCAAATCCTGGCCGGGAGAAGGAGAGAAACTCCTTAGACTGTAAGCTCCTCCTGACGTCATCATGCTGTTGGCTATTTTGAAAGTGGTCTTTTTGAATGCTTTTTATTGTTCTACAGTCTGTAAGTAGGATTTTTTTGGAGTTCACATTTGGGTCTTGGATGTTTGGAAGATTCATGATTCAGGCATGCATAGGAGAATCTGCTAACATTCTATACTGAAATGCTGTTTGAGACCCCCCTATAATTAAGGGGTCTCTATTTCTGGTAAAGCCTCCATTTAATCAAGTGGTGGTGGTGCACACGTTGGTGAATTATCTGGAGGAAGACTATCCATGATACTAACAGCACTGACATACAGTGGTATCATTGGTTGTGGGGTTCTATCTTCATATGGACTTTATTATGTATCTATATGGACTATATGTCACTGGTTTTAATTTGATCACTTTTCACAGATTTGAGTGTCTTTATAATGTATGTATATAACTAGTGAAGTTCACACATTTTATATTCATTTGTTTTTACTGATTTGATCGCTTTTTATAGGTATGAGGGCCTTCATAGTGCACATGCATGTTTAATGAGGTTTACTGTTTTACATAGCGCAATATATTATACATAGTTTTTGAAAAGAGGATATCCTCTAAATTTGCAGCTTTGTGGGATAAGGTGATTGGAGATTTGCACAGTTTGATCCGGTTTACTGATGTGGATGTACAGTATCTAAAGCACTACCTAAATTATCGGTACTATATAAATGCCTGTAATAAATCAAATACGAATGTTAACTCTGTTCTCAGTTTCTCTCTTTAAAACACTATCATGTTTAGAAAACAAAGAGGTAGGCAACCTTAAAGAGGGAAGATCTACCTGAACAACATGGGAGAAGTCAAAGGTCACAGCCGCATGTCGCAATCATGTGCACTGAACAGCAATCAGGAGTTTAAATCAGAGAGTGAGGAGGCATCGTATCGCCTCCTCACCACTTGTCAAACACTTGGATCGCTTTTCAGAGGAGCGACAGTGCCTGTTGCACTTGTGAATGAGCCCTTAGTTGCATTCTGCAGCGGCACCCTTAGGGTTCGTTCACATGTAAAGTTGGGGTGCGGTAAAACCCTGGCACACTGAGGGGGACAATCATAGAACATGGCAGTTCAGGGCATAGCAAGTTTAAAAAAAAAAAAAAAAAAAAAACCACACATTCCAGTTACACATTATTCACAGAAGGAAGCATACCAGGACAGGGGTGTGTGGGATGCATGGAGGTACAGTGAGGGCGAGAGCCACAGTAGTCACACACAACGATGTTACAGGGCACATGGTATGTAAGGCAGAGGTGGCACACCCCTCCCCCCGGTGCCCCACAGTGTGCACCCTCATCATAGGCGCCCCTCACTGAGCGCAAGCCCCGACCCCGCCCCCCCCCCCCCCCAGGGATCCAGCCCTGAGCGCATGGCCTGACCCCCAACATACTCCTTTGATGTATGTATATACTTTTAGCGCTCCTCAGATCGGGGCCCCCCTGGTTTCATGAAGCCGAAACGTCTGCGTTCCTTTTTTAAACTTCAGGAAAGTGGCAAAGTACGATTACATATAGGTGACAACATCTAATTGGCCGACCCTCCCCCAGGGGTCCGGCACCGAGCGCACGCCCCGACTCTCCCCCCCCCTAGGGGTCCGGCACCGAGCGCACGCCCCGACTCTCCCCCCCCCCCCCCCAGGGGTCCGGCACTGAGCGCACGCCCCGACTCTCCCCCCCCCCCCCCCCCAGGGGTCCGGCACTGAGCGCACGCCCCGACTCTCCCCCCCCCCCCCCCCCCCCCCCAGTCCGGCACTGAGCGCACGCCCCGACCCCGACTCCCCCCCCCCCCCCAGGGGTCCGGCACTGAGCGCACGCCCCGACTCTCCCCCCCCCCCCCAGGGGTCCGGCACTGAGCGCACGCCCCGACTCTCCCCCCCCCCAGGGGTCCGGCACTGAGCGCACGCCCCGACTCTCCCCCCCCCCCCAGGGGTCCGGCACTGAGCGCACGCCCCGACTCTCCCCCCCCCCCCCCCCAGGGGTCCGGCACTGAGCGCACGCCCCGACTCTCCCCCCCCCGCCCAGGGGTCCGGCACTGAGCGCACGCCCCGACTCTCTCCCCCCCCCGCCCAGGGGTCCGGCACTGAGCGCACGCCCCGACTCTCCCCCCCCCGCCCAGGGGTCCGGCACTGAGCGCACGCCCCGACTTTCCCCCCCCCCCCCGGGGTCCGGCACTGAGCGCACGCCCCGACTCTCCCCCCCCCCCCCCGGGGGGGTCCGGCACTGAGCGCACGCCCCGACTCTCCCCTCCCCCAGGGGTCCGGCACTGAGCGCACGCCCCGACTCTCCCCTCCCCCAGGGGTCCGGCACTGAGCGCACGCCCCGACTCTCCCCTCCCCCAGGGGTCCGGCACTGAGCGCACGCCCCGACTCTCCCCTCCCCCAGGGGTCCGGCACTGAGCGCACGCCCCGACTCTCCCCCCCCCCCCCCGCCCAGGGGGTCCAGCACTGAGCGCACGCCCCGACTCTCCCCCCCCCCGCCCAGGGGTCCAGCACTGAGAGCACGCCCCGACTCTCCCTCCCCACCCAGGGGTCCGGCACTGAGCGCACGCAAAGACCTCACCCCCAGGGGTCCAGCACGGAGCGCCCACCCCCAACAGGGGTCCAGCACTGAGCACGCCCCTCCCCCCAAGGGTTCCAGCACTAAGTACTCCCAGTGGCCCCTCATTGAGTACACCCCAGGGGCCCCTCATTAGCACCCCCCAGGGGGCCCCTCATTGAGCACCCCCCCAAAAGGCCCCCTACTGAGCACCCCCTCCCCCCAGGGGCCCCTCATAGCACCCCCCTCCTCCAAAAGGCCACCTACTGAACACCCCCCTCCCACCAGGTCCCTCACCTGATGAAGGTGGTCTTCCCGGTACTGTACTGTCCCACCAGCAGCACCATGGGCCGGTTCTGGAAGTCGGCCTCCTCCAGCGCCGGGGAATGGAACTCATGGAAGCGGTAATGTTCCTCCAGAGGCAGCAGCTTCCCGGTGTACAGAGCCTGCAGGCCGCCCGTCACCGTCTGGTGAACATCCTGCTGCTGACGGCCAGAGCCGCTCTCCTTCCCCATCCAACTGAACATGTCCGCTCCGTGCCAGCTCTCCTCCGCTCTCCGGCATGGACCGCGATCACTTCCTTGTTATCCCCGGTGTACGGGGATCCGCCTATCACCATACAGGGCCACGTCACCTGAGCCCAAACCCCGCCCTGCACCGCACCGACCTGCCAATCACACGTCATCTCATCCTGGCTGCACCTATTGGGACATCTAGTGGTGAGCAGAGGAGCAGCAGGAGGAGCCCACCAACCTTCCTGCTCATCACTGTGTTCCCGCATTGGTGTCACCGATCAGACCTGACACTGTCACTGATCTACTATCATATCTCACACTGGGAATGTGACATTCGCTAAACATTCACTGCAGGTGAATCTCCCTGGTGCTTGTGTTTACAGGGAATGAATAATCAGCAGTGGATGCTTGGTGAATGTCACAGTCACTCTATGCTCTTATTGCAATCTTCTGATTTGAATGTCTGTGCTCCAAATAATGATGTCTGAACACTCAGCAAGTCCATGATCGATAAATGTGAATGCTGCACCCCCAGCCCCCACCCAACCACCCTGACATACATAGCCTAATACACTCTGCTATGGCCAAGCTGGCCGGTGTATTTGTCATTTGTTCACACACACGTCCAGCACTTATTGCGAGAAAATTACTAGAACCCCCCAATAATATATGTTTTCTGGAAGGAGAGGCCCTGGATAAAAAAATGGTGGCAGTCACACATTTTTCTGTCACACGTTATTTGCACAGCCATTTATTAAACACAAATTATCAATGAGTGCGCACAATTACAATCTAATACCCACTCTGTGGTGACATATAAACGATGATGTTACATCGAGTAAAAAGATACCGAATATGTCAAAACTGTGTGCACCTGGGAAATGGTGAAAAACCTAAAACTGCCATAGGTGATGCTTTACAAGTCTTTACAGGTCATCAGTTTAGAGTCCATTGTGAATTCTATCTGGAGAGTCTGCCCTCTCTGCACTGCAGATGCTGTCTGTACATGCATGCAGGATCTACACGTGTGTTTATTTGTGTGTATGCGCAGGAGGCAGGAGGGGCAGGTGCTTTACATTTTTATTCATTTTTTCCAATTGTTTTTTTTACTCCTTTATAACATATTTTTTTCATTTACTTTCATTGCTGTCTTAAGGGGACTAACAAACCTCCATGTGATAGCTTTGGGCAGGTGACAGGTACTCTTTAAGGAGACATCAGGGGTCTATTACACCCACAATGTCTCTCCTGTCCTCCAAAGTAGATGTTTGATTTATTAGTGACTTCCCTAGTTGTAACAGTCATGAAATGACAGCTCTGAAACCTGAAGTGACAAAATCAGCATCGCCGCCGGCTTCATTGGTCACAGAAAGGGACGGGCTTGATGTTCAAGTCGAACACACAAACAGGAACGACATTCGGTGGGCTATTTGCCCGCCGCGACTCCCAATGCACTGCAATCCCACAGTGCATTGTGATTGGCCAAAGCAATGCACCTGACCACTATCATGGGGTCAGGGTTGTGGGGAAGAGTCCCTTGCCACATGCTGAGGGCACGTGGCCTAATAAGCCACAGGCCAGGGGGGGTGTGCTCATTCGTCTCCCCCTCTTTTCTGCCCAGCTAGGCCTGTGCCCGGATCAAAAGGTCTGGTAGGAATTTAGGGGGGACCCCACACTTTTTTGCCCATTTTTGGGGGGTGGGGTTCCCCTTAAAAGTCCTACCAGGCCTAAAGGGCCTGATATGACTTTTAGGGGAGCCCCACGCACTTTTTTAAAAAAAAAAGGTTTTTTTACTGTGGGGTCCCTCCTAACCTTCTTACCACAACTAAAGGGTCTTGTATGGACTAGAGGGGGCCCCAACACTGTCGTTTTTTTAAAAATAAAAATGTCATGTCGGTTATTTACATTGTACAGATGTGCAATTTGCAGGTAGCTTAACTGCCTCCCGCCCGCCATATAAGGAAATGACGGGCGCAAGGCGGTTCTCTCGTTCTGGGAGGACGTCATATGACATTCTCCCACTCTAACCGCGCGTGCACGGCTCCGGGGGCACGGAGCGATCGGTGGTGGGCTGTGTCTCTTGGACACAGCGGATCACCAATCAGTGGAAAGAGCCAAAGACATCGGCTCTGTCATGTGATCAGCTGTGTCCAATCACAGCTGATCGCATGTAAATAAGGAAATGCCGTTTATTGGCATTTCTCTCCTCACGAGCTGTCATGCTGACAACTTAGAGAGGAGAGCAGAGCCAGTAATCGGCATTCCTTAGAGGGGACATCTACACTGATCATCAGGGCACTGATCATCAGTGTGCCCTGATGATCAGTGGAGCCCCATCAGTGCCACCTGTCAGTGTCCATCAATGCCAGCTGCCAGTTCCCATCAGTGCCACATCAATGCCACATATCAGTGCCTACCAGTGCACATCAATGCCACATATCAGTGCCCATCTGAGCTGCCTTTCAGTGCCACCTATCAGTGCCAATCAGTGCCACCTATCAATGCCAGTCAGTGCCACCTATCAGTTCTGTCAATCAGTGCCACCTATCAGTGCCAATCAGTACTGCCTATCAGTGCAAGTCAGTGCTGCCTATCAGTGCCAGTCAGTGCCACCTATCAGTGCCATATATTAGTGCTGCCTTTCAGTGCCCATCGGTGATGCCTGTCAATGCTCATCGGTGCCACCTACCAGTGCCTCCTCATCATTGCCCATCAGTATCAGTGCCGCCTATCAGTGCCCATCAGTGCAGCCTATCAGTGTCCATCACTGCAGCCTTATTAGCGCACATCAGTGAAGGAGAAAAATCATTTATTTACAAAATGTTATAACAGAAACTAAGAAAAAACTTCTTTTTTTTTAATTTTCAGTTGTTTTTGGTTTGTTTAGCAAAAAATAGTGGTTAAAGGGGTCCCCCCCCCCCCCCCCCGCCGCCCCAGGGCATTATATTTAAAGGAATTGTTCATTGTTTTTTTTTTTTTTTTACTTTAAGCAATGAAAAATTATTACTAGTAAAATAAAAAATAAAATAAAAAATTCCAGTATCTATACCGTCATTTGTAAATGCTATACATTTCGTGTAAACCAAATAATTTCCACGTATTGAAATTTTTTTTAGCAAAGACATGTAGCAGAATACATTTTTTGGCCTAAATTTATGATGAAATTTTATTTTTTAGATTTTTTTTACCGGACATGTTTAATAGAAAAAAGTCAAATATATAGTTTTTTTTCTCAAAATTGTCAGTCTTTTTTTTGTTTATAGGGCAAAAAAATATGGTGATCATATACCATATAAGGACGTAAATTTAGTTTGGGTGCAGCGTTGCATGACCACGCAATTGTCAGTTAAAGTAATGCAGCGCCGTATCTCAAAAAATGGCCTGGTCAGGAAGGGGGGTAAATCCTCTGGAGGGCAAGTGGTTAAACTCTGATGTAAAAAATATATATATTCACATATGTTTTCTTAACTCACAAAACTGCTCTATTGCTTTCAGCCTCCTCCAAATCTCCAAATTTCTTTTATTTTCTTGCTGCTGTGATCTGACTTCCTGTTAGACGGTGGCTACGTTTGTTCTCCATGGTCCCACTGTATGTAGGAAAGTAGCCACCTTCTCTTGCTCGCTCTTGAGATGGACTAGAGACTATAGACTGTGGGATGGACTAGGAACTAGGAACTATGGACCACGGGATAGACTAGGGTTTATGGGATGAACTATGGAATATTTTGATGAGGCCAGCAGGCCTAGGTGAACAGCACTGGACTGGGAAGGTCCATAAGTACATAAACGGATATTATTATTATTATACAGTATTTATAAAGCGGCAACAGTTTGCTCAGCGCTGTACATTACAATGGGAGACAGAACATGTGACAGTACGATAACAATACAATGTGATACACGAGGGGTTCGAGGGTCCTGCTCTTTCGAGCTTACAATCTAGGAGGGAGGGAGGGATAGTGGTACAGGAGGAAATAGCTGTGGGGGATGGAGTGGTAGGAAGAGTGGAGGAGGTCGGCAATTAGCAGGGGGTGGGGTAGGCTTCCCTGAAGAGATGGGTTTTCAGGGTGCGCCTAAAGGAGAGGAGAGTAGGTGATAGTCTGATGGATTGGGGTAGGGAGTTCCAGAGGATGGGTGACGCCCTGGAGAAGTCCTGGAGGCGAGCATGGGAAGAGGAGACCAGGGAACTAGAGAGAAGGAGGTCTTATGAGGAGCAGAGTGTGCGTGTTGGGTGGTATTTAGATATTAGGTCAGTGATGTAGCTTGGGGCAGTGTGATGGACAGCTTTGTACGTCAGTGTTAGGATTTTGAATTTGATCCGTTGGGCAATCAGAAGCCAGTGGAGGGATTGGCAGAGGGGGGTGGCGGAAACGGAGGTGAATGAGTCTGGCTGCCGTATTCAGGATCGACTGAAGCGGGGATAGCCAGCGGCAAGGCAGGCCAGTAAGGAGGGAGTTGCAGTAGTCGAGTCGTGATATGATGAGGGAGTGGATGAGCTGTTTAGTGGTTTCTGGGGTTAGGAACGTGCTGATTTTGGCGATGTTGCAGAGGTGGAGTCTGCATGAGTTTGTTAGTGATTGGACTTGGGGCTGGAAGGATAGGTTGGAATCAAGTATGACCCCAAGTACTCTGGCTTGTGGGGTGGGCCTGATGGTGGCATTGTTGGACGTGATGGAGAAGTCAGTGGGGGGTGGTGTGCGGACTGGGGGGAAGACGAGGAGCTCGGTTTTGGAGAGGTTCAGTTTAAGAAAGTAAAGAGACATCCAGTCTGATATGTCGTTCAGTAGGCTTGTGATTCGGGCGGAGACTGAGGAGGTGAGGTGAGGGGTGGAGAGATAGATTTGCGTATCGTCGGCATGGAGGTGATAGTTGAAGCCATGAGAGTGTATGAGTTGGCCAAGGGAGGAGGTGTAGATGGAGAAGAGAAGGGGCCTGAGGACAGAGCCTTGAGGGACCCCAACATAGAGGTGGTAGCGTTGTAGGTAACGCTGAAGGAGCGTTGTGATAGGTAG